TGTGTCCAAAGTATGAGAGACGAAGCTTAGCCATCTTGGCCTCCAAGGAGGACATAGTGCTTGGTAAAATGGAAGGCCAGTGAAAAAGAGGAAGACCTCCAATGACATGGATTGGCATAGTGGCAGCAGCAATGGGCTCAAGTGTGGCAAAAATTGTGAGGACGGAGAAGGACTGGGCAGTGTTTTGTTCTGCTATGCTTAAGGTTGTTATAGTTCAGAACCGACTTGATGGTACTTAAGAATGACAACAAAGAACCTATTATTCACTTCCTTGTCCTCCCCATGCAGAGAACTGGGAACATTAAATAAGTTTACCATTGCTTCAGCCTTGCCCTCAGGAATGTATGTCAGTAACACCCAAAGCTTAAAAGCGATGCCTTTGAGCACTGTGACCGCAGCTAGCTGGCTGGCTGCTTGCTTTCATCGGCTGGGACCTGGCTGGAGATGGATTGCCGTAGTACCAGGTTAAAGTGCTTAGTTCTTCTAGGGAGCATATGATCCCTAACTAAATATTTGAGGTTTTAAAGGAATTACTATTATTATTTTAGGGATGATAGTGGTATTGTAGCTATATATTTAAAAATAACTCTTAAGCCAGTGTTCATAACAACACTGTTTACAATTGTCACAAGGTATAGAAACCACCCAAGTATTTGTCAGCAGATGAATGAATAAGCAAATGTGGTCTCGTCATACCCAAAATGTCAAAAACCAAACCCGTGCTGTGGAGGTGATTCCAACTCAGGGTGACCGTATAAAACAGAGTAGACCTGCCCCCACAGGGTCTCCGGACCTGGAAATCTTTCTAGAGGCAGACTGCCTCATCTTTCTCCCATGGAGCAGCTGGTGGGTTTGAACCAACAACCTCTAGGTTAGCAGCAAAGTGATTTAACTATGGCACCGCCAGGGTGAATTAGAGAGCTAATTCATCCCTAAAATTACGTTTTTTCTTGTTTTTGTTTTTCTTTAAAACAACAAAAATGTACTCTCTTTTGGTACTTAAAGCTTAGAAATCTAAAGGTGTTAGTAGGATACTGTTTCCTCATAAGGCTCCAGGGGACATTCCGTCTTTGCAGCTCCCAGGCTTCTGGTGGTTGCCAGCAAGCCTTTGATTTTCCTTGACTTGTGTCTGTGTCACTCCAATTTCTGCCTCTCTCCACATGACCATCTTTCCTCTGTGTCTCTGTTGTTGTGTCCAAATTGTCCTCCTCTTATCCAGACACCAGTCATTGGATTGGAGTCCTGCTATGGCGCTGGGGTTAATGAGCTGGACCACAAAGGTATTTGACCCACAAGGTCAGAGGTTCAAGTTCACCAGCCACTCCTTGGAAACCGATACAAGGTTGCTATGGGTCCGAACCGACTCGATGGCAGTTAACAACAGCAGTCACTACATTTAGGACACACCCAAATCTAGTCATAATTTCATTTTAGCTTGATTACATCTGCAAAGACCTTATTCCCAAATTCACATTAGCATTATTCACATTCACAAGTGCTGAGTGGGCAAGATGTTTAGAAGAACAGTGTTCAGTCCAGTCTGATAGGGGTATCCAGTTATGCCAGCACTATTTATTGGAAAATATTCTGTTTACCATTGAAATTTCTTTGGTGCCCTTGTCAAAAATCAGTTAAATACACAAGTGTGGGTGGATTTCTGGATTTTCTCTTCTGTTCCTTAGATGTGTGTGTATCGTTACACAATAGCCTTGATGACTGTGGTTGTACCAAAAGCCGGGAAATCCTGTCATGTGAATCCTTCAACACTGTTGTCAAGATAGTTTTGACACATCTAGGTCCTTTAAATTTCCGCACAAATTATTATTTTTGTGTATAAATGAGTGAAGATTTACACAGCAGGTCATCCATTTTAGAATCAACAAATCATATACTTTGTTTCATTACAATGACTGCAATCCCCTTCCTGGACCATTAGTTAGCAATATTGACTTCTTTTTCCTTTAACTCTTACGCTCCTCCCTGTGTCTCCCTGTGTCTTCATCTTCCCGCTTGCCAGTTCGTTCCATGACCTTTTCCTTCTCAGAAACAGTTTCAGGCTCTGTATCTTGGTCATTTGTGTGAACTGTTTGGTTCTCTCTTGTTTCTTCATGTGAGTGAAATGGATGTCTCTGGGACATTGTGGTATTGATGATTGTATGTTGATGTGTTCTTAGGCTCTCACCAACTGTTTCCTGTGGGTGTAGTTAGAGAATGGAGGTGTGTGTACCATTCTTGTCTCTTCGTGCCCCTCAGTTTAGGGTGGGTTTCACTGGTGTTGGCTGCTGTCTGGTATTGATTCAGTGATATAGGAGCTGGTATTGGTGCTTGCCCAGTGGGTGGAGCCACAAAAGGTATGAATGATTGTGGCTGAGCTGTGTGGGCATGGTCGCTGTCTCCTGTCACAGCAGAGAGAGTAGAACCACACACACAGACATACACACACAAGAAAACAAAACAGAATAAACAAACAACCAAAAATGAAAAGAGAAAATAATAAAGAAGAAAAATAAATAACAACAGGCAACAACTGCACCCCCCAAAAAAAAGAATGTCTGGAAAATGGAGGTATAGAAGAGGAAAATCAGAGAAAATGAAAGGAAGAAATTAAAACCAACAACAAAAAACCAGGGAGAGGGAAGATGAAAAGAGAAAGAGACTTGTTAGGTGCGGTTGAGTTGGTTCTGACTCATAGCGATCTTATACACAACAGAACAAAACACTGCTCGGTCCTGTGCCAACCTCGCAATTGTAATGCTTGAGCCCATTGCTGCTGCCACTGTGCAATCTAGCTCGTTGGGGGTCTCCCTCTTTTTCTCTGACCCTCTACTTTAGCAAGCTTGATGTCCTTCTCTAGGGACTGGTCCCTCCTGATAATATGTCTGAAGTATGAGCAATGGAGTCTAGCCATCTTGGCTTCTAAGGAGCATTCTGGCTGTGCTTCTTACAGCACAGATACTTTTGTTCTTCTGGCAGTCCATGGTACTTTTAATATTCTCCTTCAGCATTATAACCCAAATGCATCAATTCTTCTGCAGTCTTCCTTATCCACTGTCCAGCTTTCACATGCATATAGAGGCTACTGAAAAGAAAAAGAGACTAGAGACTAGTAAAGAAAAATCTGAAGGAAAAAAGAAAAAAAGGAAGAGGGGAAATGACAAAAAGAAGAAAGAAGGAAAAATAAAAGTGGAGATAGTATAAAATGCAAGGGAAGAAGAGAGAATAAAATGAAAACAACAGAATAACAAAAGGAAAAAACACACAAAATCAAAACTGAAAATCCAGTGCAGCTGTTGGACTGGGAGAGGATACAATTCCAGTGGGATCCTGCCATCCAAGGAGCTTATGGGGTGTGTGTGGGAGGGATGTGGCAGTGGAGTTCCCATAGGCTTCAGTGTTAGCTTTGTTCAGGTCTTGGGCAAGGGCCTAAAAGGCCCACCTTTGAGCACAAGTCGGGGAGCTTTGGCATACCACTAGGTGCTATTCCTTTGGCTGTTCATGGCACAGAACTTGATGGACTTCCTGAAGCGTCCAGAATGCCTGGCCCAGTGGTGCCCAACTGAACAAGCAAATGAAAGCAAATAACCCCAAACTCTGATCCTTCTCTTCTTGTCTTGCAGTGGAGCCCAGGGGGAATATGCCGGGCTGGCCACCATCCGAGCCTACTTGGACCAGAAAGGAGAAAGGCATAGAACAGTGAGTCTGGGGCTGCAGTGTGTCCAACCCTCAGGCGCCAGGGGCCTGTCCTTTCCTTCTGTGCAAGCTCACGGAAGCAGATGTGGGGGGTTGGGGAGTGGTCTATTATAAAGAAATACGTTTCTGTGAAGTGGCCATTATGGTATCTCACTCGACCCCAGGGAGGGAAAACACAGAAATAGAAGGCTTCTGCTCAAATCCTCTCTGTGAAAGTCCTCTGCTGGTCATGGAACTGGTCTCCCCGGGGAGTGTGGGGTAGGAAGAGATGTTGCCATCTGAATTTCCTCTCTTTGGTTCAGGCCTGGCTATAGGCTTGGGTAGGAAGTAGAGATCACACTTGAACTTTTCTTTAGTTTTCACTGTGCCTGAGCACAATTTTGGTCAGTTTTATACTAAAAACACAAAGCAAATAATGAGGCACTAATGCAAGCCAAGTTTGGTATGAGAGTCTGGAGTCTTTTAGTAGTTAATGTGCTCATTGCTGATCCAAAGGTTGGCAGTTCAAGTCCACCTGGACGTGCCTCCGAAAGAAGGCTTGGCGATCTACTTCTGAAAAGTCAGCTGGTGAAAGCTCTATGGTGCACAGCTCTTCTCTGACACACAGGGCTCACCATGAGTCAGATCGATTTGATCTGACTGGTTTTCTGAGAATCTAGTCTCCAAAGAGACTGGCTGGGTCCAAGCTGCCTCATGAGGTCCAGAAGATGCAAATGGGCTTGCTAGAATGCCCCTAATTTCCAGTGGTAGTGCCTTTGGCCTCAAACGGTGGGTGAAGGAATGTGTGTCTGACTCCTTTGTTTGGTGACATCCTACGTGAAGAGGCTAGGGCCTCTACACAAATGTGGAGTTCTTAGAGGGAGCAATGAGTAGGACTCAGAGGAGGGACAGAAGGACCTGCCACTCTCAGGCGAGTAAGAGCAAGAGGGCCCAGAGATGGGGTGGGGCGGTGGTGACCCAGTCTCAGTGCACAAGTGACTTGGCATGCCATTCTTCCTGAACAGCGTGGAGCTGGGTGCTACACCTTAGGGAGAAAGGGAAGGAAGGCATCCTTTTTGTAGAGCTTGTAGAAATAACAGAAGTACAACTCTGAAAATGTCGGTGTCCTTTCTAGATTAAAGTCTTAACTGAGGCCAACTCGTTTAGTTAGAGTAGAAGAAAATGACTTATGATTCAAATCATCAGGGAAGATTTTTCCACATCTGTGACGTCTGAGGCATTGGAGGCAGCTGCTCCTAAGCAATACACTCTAATGGGATCCAGCAAAACATACCTTTCCATTTAGAAAGGGCCATGGTCACCGTACTGCCCGGGTCCCTGATGACCCAGCCACTCCTGAAGTTATTTTCGCATTTGCCCTTTCGTTAAATTTCAGGAGGTCCTAAAGTGTAATGCCCACATTCTTGATTTGTCAGTTTTGTTAGTGGGGAATACAAGTTTATTTAACAAACACGTTGGATAGGCACTGGACTGCTAACCTCAAGGTTGGTGGTTCAAAACCACCTGCCACTCTTCAGAAACCCTGACGGGGTTGATATGAGTCTGAACCGACGTGGCGGCCCTTAATAACTACAGCATGTCACAGTTGCCATGTGCTAGATGTTGCCCTAACTAAGCATTTAATAATTTTCCATTTAAATAGCAACTCAGACTGAGGTTCCTAAACGAATGGAAAAGATTGACCAAAAAAACCAAAAAGCAACCAACAATCCTATCTACAGATATTTTTCTCTTCTCAGTTTCCTAAGACAAATTAGCGGCCTTTGTTGTTGTTGTTGTTAGGTGCCATCAAGTTATTTCTGACTCATACCTATGCACAACAGAACGAAACACTGCCCAGTCCTGGGCCAACCTCACAATCATTGCTACGTTTGAGCCCATTGATACTGCCACTGTGCCGGTCCATCTTGTTGACCTCTGGTTGTTGGAATTTTACCAGTGTTGAGAAGCCAGTGTCTTTTTGTACTCCTTCACTCATCCACCAAGTCTTTGAGGACTGTCTCTGCTCGGAGACGTACTATGCCAGGCACCCTGGGCAGTTAGGAAAGTGTAGCATCTCCCCAATGGGCATAAATGTGCCAAAAGCTGCAATCACTTTGGATAAACTAGAGCATTAGGCTTGGATCCTAATACTTCCAGATTCCTCACTACCCCATCATTTTAAAGGGAGGAGAAATGAACATTCTAGAAAAGAATGGAAGTTTCCTAAATAGAAGTATCTACCAGCGCTCAGCTGCTCACTTAAAGGTTGGAGGTTCAATTCTTCTACGAAGACCTTGGAAGAAAGCCCTGGTGATGTGCTTCTGAAAAAATCAACCATTGAGAACCATTCTACACCAGTGGGGTCACTAGGAGTCAAAATCAATTTCACAGCAGTTGGTATTCGTTGCCTATTGCTGCTGTAACAAGCTAACACAAATTAGTGGCTTAAGAGGATATAAATGCATTTTCTTAGAGTTCTGGAAGCCAGAAGTCGGAAATCAGTTTCTCTGGGCTAAAGTCCTGGAGCCAGGGTATTGGCTGATTTCTTCCTGAGGCTTCATGCCTTTCCTGGTTCCTGGAGGCTGCCCACATGCCTTGACTCATGACTCCCCCATTGCCTCTTCTTACATTTAAAAACTTTTCATTGTGCTTTGTGGAAGTTTACGGAGTAAATTCATTTTCCATTCAGCAGTTCACACACATTCTGTGTCATGCCACTGATGACAATTTCCACCTCCTCCCTGTCTTTCCTGTTACCATTCATCCTTCTCTCCTAACCCTTCCAGCCTTGAGAACTTTGTCTCTGAGCAAATGCTGCCCTTTGGATCTTGAATGGTTGATTCTTGCTAGGCGTGCACCCCTCCCTGGTGGTACTGGTCAGTGTGTGTGGTTTGGTTGGAAGTTCAGCCACAGGGATGAATTCAGATCCAGGCTCGAAGAGCCACAGTCTTTTGAGGGTCCCGCCAGTCTTCATCTGTCCATGACCCCCTTGACCTCTGGCTGCAGTCTTCACCTCTACTTTCTTTGTAGTCAGGTCTCCACCTGCCCCTCTTATTTATTTATTTGTTTGTTTATTACACCTCTCTTATAAAGACATTTTGATTATATTTAGGACCCACCTGGATAAGTCAGGGAAATTGCCCATCACAAGATCCTTAACCTCCTCACAACTGCAGGGTCCATTCTGGCATGTTGCGTAATATTCATGGGTTTTGGGGAAGAGAACATGAACATCTTTGAGGGTCCTTAATCAGTTCACTACAGTGTTTGATATTTTTGTTTTTAGTAGGATTTCTCTTGATTTGTTGTTGTGAAATGCCATCAGGTTGATTCTAACTCACAGCTATCCTGCACAGGGTTTCCGAGGAGAGGCTGGTGAGCTTGAACCGCCGACATTTCAGCCCAGTGCATTATCCCACAGCACCACACCAGACTCCGAATTCTTCATTTAGGTCTTCCTTTTTTTCCTTCCTTTATTTCCCTTCCTTTATCAGTCTCTGCCCTTAAGGGATCGTTTTATTCAGAGATCCTTTCTGTGAAATAAAATCTCTGTGAGAGAGGCTCAGCCCTTCCAGAAGACAGATGACTTGAACTTTTAACCTGAGAAAATTATGGAGAAAAAAAAGAGGGGAAGTGGGGTAAAGCATTTACACAAGAAAAATGATTTGAGAACAACATGTATGATCCATAGTCATTCAAAAGATGACAAACAGCCAGTTCTTAGAAGAGTGAGTGTCAGAGCAATTCCGTGTTTCTCTCTGGATTGAGTTCCCTTTTCATATCTGGGTGTTTTTCTAAAGCAGGTGACGTCACTGTATTGGAGAAACAGCTGGAAGCTAAGTATTCCCTTTATAAAGCTAGCTTTTACGATCCCATCCATCTTTCTTCCAGAGGTTGTGATATTATTATTCTGGGCTTTAAAAAAAGGCAGAAAGATTATTTTCTGGGTTATAGTTGCTTTTCTTGGGGAACCTTGGTGATGGGCTTCCCCATACAAGTGAGCCATCAGGCCTTGCCTACACTTACACGAATGTTGGGAGGAAGATGGAAATGATTGCAATCTGGGAATCCTAACACTGCGTCTCCAGAATCCAACTCATCTCTAGGACCCAGCTTAGCTTCCAACTAGTGAGCTGCTTCCCTTTGACTTCTCAACTAACTTGAAGGAGCATCTGATTTTTCTGAGTCCCCTCGGACCCTGTGTGCCCTACCTGTACCAGTCAGAACCAGCACCAGCTGCTCCAGAGTCATTCCAACTCACGGTGACCCCTTGTGTGTCAGAGGAACTTTGCTCCACAGGGTTTTCTTCAGAAGTAGATCCACCAGGTTTTTCTTTTGACGCACTTCGGGGTGCACTGGAACCTCCAACTTTTTGGTTAACAGCCGGGTTCATTAACCATTTGAACCACCCACAGACTCATCCTGTGGGCTCTAGACATTCATTCATGCAAATGCCAGTCACGTGAGTGAAGAGTGGAGTTGGTGATTTTACGTGCTTAGTTTCTGATTCTCCTGGCTGCTCCCAATCTGTTTCCCAGTTAGCACTGGAAGGCTGCCCACTGTTCTCACCCCTCCCGGGGAAGCGGAGAAGACCACTGAAGCTCTTTTCCAGTCTCTGGTCTTGTAAGGTTTGCCCTCAGTACTATAACTACGTCAAGAATTGAATAAGCACAAGTATGTTTTCAGTGTCCTGGTATGGCGCTGTAGGATAAACACTGGACCGAAAGGTCAGTTTGAACCAGAAGATCAGCAGTTCAAATTCACCAGCTGCTCCTTGGGAACCCTATACAGGGTCTCTGTGAGTCAGAACCAACTTGACGGCACTTAACAACAACAACAATTTTTGGTGTGGGGTCTTGGTGTGGCTTTGTAGGATAGCCACTAGACTGCTAACCACAACCCTCGGAAACCCTATGAGTCAAAATCAACTCCACGGCACTTAATGTTTTTGGTGTGCTGGGGTAGGGAAGAGAATGTGAATATCTGTAAGTCTTTAGGGAGCAATATTTGGGGATCAAATGGAAACTCCTCTTTTGGACATAGTTTGGAAAGAGCAGTAATAATTTAATTGGGTCAGCTTAAATAAAAGCATGTGGCACCTACTTAATTGATGCTCCAATTATGTTGAGGATCTTTCTGTTGCTATGACTGGCTCTCCCCACCCGCCACCACCTGCTTTTTTTCTTTAGTTGTGGTAAAAATCTACACAACAGAACATTCACCAGTTTCCACATGCATAATCCAATAACGTTGATTATATACTTCTTGTTCCGTACCCCTCTCCCTGTCTTTTTCCTAATCATCCCACTACCATAATGTAAACTCGGTGCTCACAGCCCTGCCAGCCACTAAGAAGCTTTGGTTCTGATGCATGTGTGAATCCCGTATAAGTGAGATCGTAGGGCGTTGGTCCTTTTGTGACTGATTAATTTCATTCAGCATAATGTTTTAAGGTTCAGCCATGCTGGGGTATTGACCAGGACTTTATTTCTATTTATGTCTGAGTAATGAAGAATTTCCAGTGGATGTAACCACCACAATTTATCCTTTCATCTGTTGATAGACATTTAGGTTGTTTCCAGCCTTTTTGACTATTTTGAACAGTGTTGAGATGAAGACTGGCGGACACATATCTGTTTGTGTTCCCGCTTCCACTTCTTTGGGGTATGTACTTGTGGAAATAGGTACTGATAGTGTTTTGCTCTTTTTCTTTTCCTTTCTCTCCATTCCTTAGGTTTGCCTCATTCCAAAATCAGCACATGGGACCAATCCAGCAAGTGCTCACATGGCAGGCATGAAGATTCAGCCAGTGGAGGTGGACAAGTATGGGAATATTGACGTCGCCCACCTCAAGGCCATGGTATGTTTGGTCTGTCCTGTAGAAACTGGGAGAGATCTGGGTTGAGAAGGGGCCGTGAGAATCAGGGACACAGCAGACTGCATCGATGTATCTGAGTACATCACTCTCTGGATTGGTCCCTTGTACTGATTTTGGAATAAGGTAAACCTTAGAAATGGAAAGAAGGGAAGGAAGGAGAAAAAACAATGAAAACACTCTTCTGCAACCCCAATACCTGTTTTCCTATCTATGTGTATACCCAAAAGAAGTGAACACAAGATCACAATGAAAAGACTCATCCTGGGACTAGCTCTAGAGAAACAGACATAAGACCACAAACCTCATGTTGTTGTTGTTGTCAGGTGCCATCGAGTCGGAACCGACTCATAGCGACTCCATGCACAGCAGAACGAAACAATGTTCGATCCTGGGCCAACCTCACCACCGCTGCCACCCCCGAGTCCATCAATGATGCCACCTGGCCGATCCATCTCGTTGGAGGTCTTCCTCTTTTTCTCTGACCCTCCACCCTACCCAGCATGACATCCTTCTCCAACGATTGTTTCCTCCGGACTACATGTCCAAAGTAGGAGAGACGAAGCTTAGCCATCCTGGCCTCCAAGGAGCACTCTGGCTGCACTTCTTCCAAAACAGATCTATTGGTTCTTTTGGCAGTCCATGGCACCCTCAGTATTCTCCTCCAACACCACAACTCAAAGGCATCAATTCTTCTACGATCCTCTTTATTCACTGTCCAGCTTTCGCATCCATATGAGGCTATTGAAAACACAATGGCCTGGGTCAGGCGCACCCTAGTCCTCAATCTGACATCTCTGCCCTTCAATACTTTAAAAAGTTCCTGTGCAAACCTCATAGACTCTTTAAGAATAAAGAACAATCAAGGGTCACCTTTTTAGTCCCAAATCAAAGTGACTCTAGTCTATTTTTCCTTCCCCTGGCCAATAGGGGGGTGACCTTTTACACAGAAACCCCTCCCCCATTCTCTAATTCACATGCATTATTCATGGAGGTTATAAGGCTACTCCTGCATTCTTCCATCCAACCTTCTCTCTGCTTCTGCTCCTCCCCTCACTAACAAGCCAGCCGCCAGTCATACACGTAGCCCATCTTGTGAAACACAAATGTAGGATTTGCATATGTCTGTGGCTGCCCCAGCTACTACCTGCTGAATTTTGGGCAGTGTTCCCGTCAAACACCAACCCCCACTTGTAACCTTCCAACCTCCAGGAAGAGGTTGCTTAGCAACCGTATCTGCTTGCTGCTGGTGGACTGAAGGCTGCATCTTAAGAGGGAAAGAAATCAGCTGAATGAATAGCAATGCGATTCTGTTGGGGTTATTAGGCCCGCGGACTGACAACTTCATGTAATTGCTTTCAAAGGAAAGCTGAAAATATACAACGCTGTTCCTCTCTCCCATCCACGCTACCCTTCCCTTGACCCACAAACTCTTTTCCCACAAATATTCAAGCCTAGTAGTTGTAATTATGAACTCTCTCCAATGTAGGATGCAATTCCCCCCCCCCCCCTTTTTTTTTCCATTTTCATTTCCACCTGAGCCCATTCTGACTCAATGGACATGAAAACAGGAATGTGGTTTTTTATATGCTCGCCTTCTGTCAAAAGGAAAAAATGAGGGCGATTTTGATCAGCAGGAATGCTCCTTGGGGAATTCTGATTTCTGTGGAATGGGAGGGAAAGGGGGCAGGGGTGAGATGAGCAGAGACCGATTAACTGTGAAAAAAGACATACGTGTCTTGAAACAAAGATGACTGAGGTAATTACTGAGATAGCTCAACCCAAGGGAAAACCGCCAAAAGATCCACATCTTCTCAACATTCTTTTTGGTCTTGATTATGAAGACCTAGCCTGAAAGGATTGTGTTATGCCTTGGGAATGACTTATGGAGTGGGTAATCACTGTAGATTCTTTCAAGATGCCATTTTGCTTTGTGAGACAGCTCCAGGAATGAGAAGAACATGACTTCATCTTTCTTTAAAATCAACAACAAGTGTTTGGCCAAGAAAGAAACGTTCTCTCCCTGTGTCTCTCTCTGCCCATCTCGGTCCCATAGGTGGACAAACACAAGGAGAATCTGGCAGCCATTATGATCACATATCCATCCACCAACGGTGTGTTTGAGGAGAACATCAGGGACGTGTGTGACTTGATCCACCAGTCCGGAGGACAGGTCTACCTAGACGGGGCAAACATGAACGCTCAGGTGGGAAATGTAATGGAGAACCCTGAATTACCACTGCACGATGGTTAAGTCTACCCACCAGCACACCCCCTTTTTTTGTTTGTCTCCTTTCTTTAAACATGGCACTGAATTCAGATACTGAGGCTGACTTTACTGCCAGCTTCAAACCAAGCCCTCCATTTCCCCTGGGAATATAGGTCCTAGAGGAGATGCTGGGCCGGGGCAGGTATGAAGGTTGAATTGAAGCAGGCAGTGAGCTGAATTTCCTTAGAAAGTTGTTGTTAAGTACCATGGAGTCGGTTCCAACTCATCGTGACCCTGCACAGGGTTTACGAGGCTGTAAATCTTTACGGGAGCAGAAAGCCTCATCTTTCTCCCTTGGAACAGCTGGTAGTTTCGAACTGCCGACCTTGAGGTTAGCAGCCCGATTCATAACCACTACGCTACTGGAGCTCCTTGGACAGTATTGTCAGGGAATACCAACCCTCTGGAATTACCTGAGGGAATTCAGAACCAAGGTCTGCCCCCTGGGAGGATGCTGATCCCCACGGCCCCGCTTCCGCTACATTGGTTATAAAATAACTGGATGGTCCTGAGGGTGCAGTGGGTCTCTGTAATTGCTACACTGGTGGGTGGGAGGGGTCTCTGAGGAGAGATGCATCACGTGCTCTTTGGGGATTTTTTAAACTTCTTGGATTCCTTACCATTTCACATGCTTTCTGTTTTTCTTTGCTTCTCTCTGCATCCGTCACAAGTGCAATCCAAGGATTATCCATTGTTTCCATAGCACGAGTGCATTCTTGGTGCTTGGACATGTTCAAAATTAGCTCGAACACCCACGTGGTAGGAATGCCAGTTGAGTGCTGCGCTGGTATCTGGATCACCCCTGGAACTTTTCAGTCCTCTGCCTGTATACAGTGCCCTTTTTGATGACCCTCAGCCCTTCATCTAGTGCTCCCTAAGGAGAACCGCAGGGGAAGCATAAGTCTTGGGGCAAAGTTCCTATTTTACCAGGAGGAGACCCTTCCTTGTGTTATGAGCATTGGCTCTCCTCCTGTGTATTCAAATCTGTAGTTTAAGATCCACGTTGGGCTATGTGATCACATGCTGTTTCCATAGAACCCGAAATGCCAGGTTTTGGCTGCCAACCTCAGCCAGTACTGAGACGACTTCTGTGAATGCCACGTCCATGCTTCTGCCGTATTTCACCTGCTGGCCTGTCCCCCGGGGTCTGCAGATCCCATGCCCTTCTCACCAACGTACTTTTGACTCTCACTTTGGCTCTGCTCTTTGTGGCAGGTGGGACTGTGCCGTCCTGGAGACTTTGGGTCTGATGTCTCGCACTTAAACCTTCACAAGACCTTCTGTATTCCCCACGGAGGAGGTGGCCCTGGCATGGGGCCCATTGGAGTGTGAGTATGGGGCAGCGGGCTGAGGATGGCTCTGGGAACTGAAAAGAAAAGGATTGCTTAGTCTCCCATCCAGGTTCTGGTGTCAAGGCTATCTTTGTGGAGTGAGCCTGAGAGAGGTGGGAGGGACGCTTGTGGGCAGGTCCAAGGAGAAGCCTGATTGGCTGCACTCACCTCAGTGTTGCCCCAGGCATAGACACGCAGAAATGTTTACTTGCCTTCATGCACAGGGAGCTTAGGGACCCGGATGCTGAAGTGGTTGAGTGCCACTCCAAACCATAGGTTGGCAATTTGAACCCAGCAGTTGCTCTACAAGAGCATCTGCTTTTATAAGATTTACAGCCTTGGAGACCCGAAGGCCCAGTTCTGCTCTGTCCTCTGTGAGTAGGAATCTGTTTGCTGGTAGTGGGCTTGGTTTAGGTTTCTCCCTATTAATAACCAAACCTGTTGCACTTGAGAGGGAAGACAAGTTGGCCAAGAGAGGCAGTGGGGCCACGGGGAGGAAAGAAGAGGAGATAGAGTGGAAGTAGGGCGGTGATGGAGGACTTGTAAAGTGCCGTCAAGTCATAGCGACCCGGTATCAGGTTATCAAGGAGCAGCTGGTGGGTTTGAACTGCCAATTTTGTGGCTTGCAGTCTAGGCAGGGACAAATGTGGAGGAGGCAGGGGATGAGGGTAGGAAGGTGGGATCAGATGGAGTAGAACTGGGGTTGGGGGCATTCCTGTCTCTGAGTCCAGAGCTCTGCTCACACCTGTCTCTGCCTCAGTGCTTGGGCTGGGGGGCGGGAGGTGCTGGATGCTTTCAAAGCTTCTGCATCTTGGTCAGTGGTATCACTAGCCAGGCCCCACCAGGTAACACTGTCAGAGGGAGGGACACCGAAATATGACTGCCAATAAGATTTGTGCAGTTTCAGCAACAATTTATTATTTTTATTAAAATATCCCTGTAGTTGGTTATAACAACAAAAATGTATTTTTTTTTGTAAGTCCAGGTTACATGTCCCAATATATCCCCAGGGCTAACACTCTGTGTTCGTTTACTTTTTGAACTTTCTAATGTGCTCCAGTAAGAGCTGTTGTCATTATCCAGTTATAACAATGTGGTCTTGTTGATTTTTATCAAATTTTCTGGTGATCCAGCTGCAATATTGGGGCGTACATCAATCACTTTTTTGAGGGTGAAGTAGTCATTAAAGGAAGAGGAAAATCAAAAAGACTTCCACTCAGGTTTACTAATTATGTTTTGACATGATAGAAAGATTTTATTATTACACTATTTTGTTGTTGTTGTTAAATGCTATTGAGTAGATTCCAAATCATAACAAACCTGTATGGGGTTTCCAAGGAGCAGCTGGTGGGTTTGAACTGCTGACCTTGGCAGTTAGCAATCCAATGCTTATCCTACAGCGCCACACCAAGACTCCATTCATTAGTCTAAAGAACTATTGCGTGTAAGTAATTTACAAGTATAGAAGGAGTCCTGGTGTGGCGCTTATAGGATAAACACTCGACTGCAAGGGTGGTTTGAACTGCAAGGTTGGAGGTTCAAATCTATCAGCCGCTCCTTGGACACTCTTTACAGAGTTGCTAGGAGTTAGAACTGACTCAACAGTACAACAGCAGCAATACAAGTATATAGAAAGGAGCTTCAAAAAGTTCATTGAAAAATGGAATTGAAATTTCCCTGATGTATATTTTATATATTCTGTGATTCAGTGTGGTCTGGTAGATTGGGGTGAGATCATGGTCACCTCCCTCCTTGACTTTGACCTTAGTGAGCCCACTGCTCTTAGCAGGGGTCAGCTCTCTTCTGCTGTCAGCGCCTCTAGCTTCCCTAGACGGCCCAGCACATGCCTGTTTGGTTGGAGTGAATCCTTTTGTGTTATTCTTGTGTGTAATTGGTGGCTTTGCACTGCCGATCTTGTGGTAAGCAGTCCAGTGCTTATCCTGCAGTGCCACACCTGGGCTCATCCTTTTACATCTGACCAATTTCTGCTTTTAATGAAAACCCAGGAAGAAGCATCTTGTCCCTTTCCTGCCCAGCCATCCCGTCATCGCAGCGAAGCTGGGTGTGGACTCACAACCTTTGGGCACTGTGAGTGCTGCCCCGTGGGGTTCCAGTTCCATCCTGCCCATCTCCTGGGCGTACATCAAGGTGAGGCCTGGATGGGTCACAAAGCAGGGCGGGTGGGGACACAGAAGAGCAGACTCCCTCCTGGCTTCAAAATCAGGAAATCCCTAATCTGAGATGTGGTACAGTGAGTAGGGCTGACTGCCTAGTGGAAGAACTGGGTCGGTCCCCAACTGATAACTTATATTTCTATCCCAAATGTTGTGGTTGTCAGGTGCTGTCGAATTGGTACCAACTCATAGTGACCCCATGCACAACAAAACAAACCACTGCCCAATCCTGCACCAACCTATCATGCCTACAGTGGAGCCCATTGTTGTTCCCACGGTGTCAGTCCAGCTTGCTGGGGGCCACCCTCTTTTTTTCTCTGTCCCTCCACTTTACCAAGCATAAGTCCTTCTCCAGGGGCTGGTCGCTCCTGATAATATATTCAAAGTACGAGAGATGAAGTCTGGCCATCTGGCTTCTAAGGAGCATTCTGGTTGTACTTGTCTGGTTGTACTGTGGTGACTTGTATGTTGCTGTGATTCTGGAAGCTATGCCATGGGTATTTTAAATACCAGCAGGGTCACCCACGGTGGACAGGTTTCAGATGAGCTTCCAGACTAAGACAGACTTAAGAGGAAGGAGTGACAGAATGCTTCTGGATATTTAGTCACTGAAAACCTTATGAATAGCAGTGGAACTATCCCAAATAGACTGAGTCCAAAATCTACATTTTAACAAGACCCCCAGGTGATTCCTATGGATACATATCTGAGATGGATGGGCACAGTAGTGGCAGCGATGGGCTCAAGCGTAACAACAGTTGTGAGGATGGTGCAGAATGGGCAGTGTTTCATTCCGTTGTGCATAAACAGGGTCACTGAGTTGGAACCAACTTGACGGCACCTAACAATAACAACATCTGTATATTGGAGATCTTGTTAAAACATAAATTCCAGTTCAGTCTGTCTGGGGCAGAAAAGCAAATTCTCAGCAAGTGCTGGAACCAGAACCAACCAATGTGAAGCCCTGGTTCAAATGCATTTCATCTCTTCCCATGACTGTTGGCTTTGGGTTTTCATAGTGAGTTTCACATCAGAAAAATGATGCAGCAGACATTTTTCCAGACAGAGTTCAGTTCCGTGAGTCATGGGTGCCCTGACCAGTCATTTCGTTTCCTGTAGGAGTCCCATGTCAGCAGTGCACGTTCAGTTTTGACCCTTGGTTGAGGTCCTGGGAGCATTTTAGGAGTATAGCTCACTTGACTTTGTTTCCTGGGGCCTGAAGGAAAAGATAAAAAGGAGCAGAGATTTGCTTACATGGTGGTCTCCCCAGTCTTTCTCCCCTTCAGGGCCTGTGGAACTGTACTCTCTCAGGTCATTAGACTTTGTTGGACAACTGACTTCCTTTTGTCATTCTCCAAAAGGACACTGGGGCCAGTTTTGTTAGTACTGCCTTTGTGTAAACTAGCCTGCTTGCCTCCCGGGCTGACAGAACGATGCTTTGGATAGAAACGACTTGTTCAGTACTAATTACAGCAGCCATCCCAAATGCACACTTCAGCTACACCAACCATGCCAGAAGATTCTCTGAGGCTGACTGCTATTGTGTGGGCTTTAGGATTCTTTGTTTTAAAAATAATATTTGATCCTGTCTTTGGTGAAGGTTTACACAGAAGGTTAGGTTCCCACTCCACCATTTCTACCCAAGTTGTTCAGTGGCATTGGTTTGATTCGTCACAATGAGTGAACTATCTCATTATTTCCCTTCTGGTTGTTTCATTTCCATTCATCTAGTTTCCCTATCTCCTTACCTTCTCATCTTTGTTTTGCAGTAATTGTTGACCCTTTGGTGTCATACAGGTGGTTTTTTAAAGGAGCACGATACTCATTACTTAAAAAAAATTTTGAACATTTTATTGTGTTTACCATTCAACAATTCATACACAGATTGTTCCATGACATTGGTTTTAGCTCCACAATCTGGCTGAAAGAGGTGACCTTTGGGAATGACCTCAGTTCTGCAGTGTTATCTTATGATTCTTCATGAAAACGATCTTCACAGCTGGAATGACAATTCCGTACCTCAGAGATTGTTGTCCGTCATCGAGTTGAATCTGACTCGCGGTGTGCAGACTAGAACTGCTCCTTTTTAATATGACACTAAGAGGCAGCATTTGCCTAAGGACAACGTTCAGAAGGCTGCAAGGGTTAGGGAAGAAGGAGGAATGGAAACAAAGCCCTGGGAGTGAGTGGGATGAGGGCTGTGAACTGGTGAGCTCCCTTTTGGTTCCTGTAAGTCCAAATCATCCATTAGAGACGTATGCAGGTAGAGAGAGTGCCCCACTGGAGACAAGTAAACGAAATGCCCCCAAATGCTTTGGCCACTTATCAATGACACCAATAAAAGTGTCCATTAAAAAATTAAATAAGATAGGGTTTGTTCTGGAGTCCCTGGTGGTAGAAGTGGCTAAGTATTTGACTACTAACCAGAAGGTGTGCGGTTGGAACCTGACCAGTGGCAAATCAGAATAAAGGCCTGGTGATCTGCTCTCAAAAGGTTACAACTTTGAAAGGTCTCTGGAGCGGTTCTATGTTACATACATGGGTCTCCATGCATTGGGATCTATTACAAGGCAACAACACGGTTTAATCGGCATCTCTGACCTTCGATTGGCGCTCCCCTGAACTCCATGACACACTGACACTCCTGGTCAGTCAGTGACTGGCTGAGTTCAGTCCGTTGCATTCCTAGGGAAGGTTCTAGTCTTGCAAGTTGTGAGAAGCACATCCCCCCGACTGTGGTGACTCCTGGGCTGGACATCCCCCTTCACACCTGCATCATTTGCCGGCTTCTCTCGGTTCTGCCCAGCATTAAGTCTCCACTTACGCTCGCTTGAGGAACCTTCTTAGACCAGTCTGTCCTCCCCTGACGCTGGACTTGGCATTCCAGTGGCTTCACTTGGTACTTCCTCATGTGATTTGTGTTGGTCATGCATTTATGTCCACCCCACATCATCCACAGTGTGTGCTAGGAAGAAGCAAAGTAATAAAAACCGGTGCCCTCTTGATTTTCTGCTCTTTTCTTGTGATGATGTGCATCCCATGTGATCAGAGGATGTAACCACCAGAAAAGGATAATTTGGGACTTGCAGTTGTTCAACAGAAATAGCCTTAACTATGGACAATTGGGAGAGAAACCATACAAAATTGATTCAACAGAGTCTTTGGCCAAGATCCCCTGGGATTCTTGGCAATTATTGAGACATCTCAAATTCAAGTTAAAAAAATTCACATAATCTAAGGACAATTCTCTTCCTTTATACTACAGTGAAGGCTGTGAAATCACTGCTTAAAAGAGAAAACTGAAAATCACTTGAAACTGATGTCTCTGGTCCTGGTCGATGTACTCCCCTGTCTTGCTTAGAGCTGTGAGGGGGCGGACTTCTTTTGTGGGTGATTTATCTGGGACGTCTTGGGCGTTGGGCTTTGAATTGGTTCATTCCAGGTCCACCCCCTGCTGAATATTTGCCACTCCACCCCAGATCTACCAATCAGAATCTATAGTTTAACAGGATTCCCAGGTGATTCTTGTTAAAATATCGATTTGAATTCAGTAGATCTGGAGTGGAAAGGCAATTTCTCAGCAGGGGGTGGACCTGGAATGAACCGGTTTGGAGCTCTGCTTGGGTGAGTGGCTTGACCTCTGACCTCACTGGTTCAAAGGCTGATGACTCTTTCTCTCTTGCAGATGATGGGAGGCAAAGGCCTGAAACAGGCCACAGAAGTTGCAATATTAAATGCCAACTACATGGCCAAGCGATTAGAAAAACACTACCGGGTGCTTTTTAGGGGCTCAAGAGGCAAGTATGGACTTTTATCTCTCTTCCATCACATTGGGGCGTGGTCTCTGGCACACCAAATTGGACCTAGTAGAAGTAGTTTCGGAACTGAGCTGTGATCCTCATCTCTTACGGAAATAACTTCCATTTTGCGAATACTTTAAGGGCATCACAGTATGCAAGCCTGGCCCTGGCTTCTCCACGGCCCACCCATGTCAACAAGGAGTCTGTCCGATGGAAAGCTGTGGATGTCAAAGCCACGAGCCCATTTGTAAACAAAAGCACTATGGGGATGCCCCAACATTGGAATGATGCAGCCTGGTGGAGGCAGGGTGCGAGCGTTGGGAGGCTTCTGGGAGGAGCTGTATGAGCAGGTCCTGTGAGGAAATGCGGACAAGGCAGGACACACAGACTGCGACTTGAGGGACTTGGAAGGCTCTGGACTTTACCCTGCAGCCAGAAGGTAGACATGAAGGGGTTTTTGTTTCTATTTTAAAATATGTTTATTTTTTTTGTTATTGGTAAAAAAAAATTTACATGACCTAACATACACCAACTCAACAATTTCTACATGGTCAATTCCTTGACCTTGATGCCAATTTTCAGGTCATGATGTCATTCTCATTCTTCCTCTTTGAATTGTTGCTACCCCCATCAGCATAAACTCAATGCCCTTAAACATTCCTTCTAAGCATTTTCAATTTTTATTTTTAACCTTTTATTGTGAATTGAGTGAAGGTCTACAGAGCAGATCATTAGTTTTACATTCAACAAACCATACACTCGGCTTCACTCATGTTTGCAGCCCCCACCATGTCCCAACAGTTTAGCATTGTATTCCTCTCTTCATCTACCGCTACCTTCATCTTTCCTCCGCTGACCTCCCTCCTGTCACCATGTTAACATGTGTTTACCATCTAGCCCATGAATGATTTTCCCTCCCCTCCCCGTAACCATCACAGATTGTTTTTTATTTTGAAAACATTCATCTCATACAATGCTTGCCCTTTTGTGTTTGATTAATTTCACTCAGCATAATGCCCTCCAGATTCAACTATGTTGTGAGGTGTTTCACAGATTCATCCTTATTCTTCAGTGTTTCGTAGTTTTCCATTGTGTGTATGTGTCAAAGTTTGTTTAACCGTTCTTCTGTTGCTAGGAATTTTAGCTGTCTCCATCTTTTTTTTATGTTTCTTGTAGACAGTGTATTGAATGAACTTGTTTTCTTATCTGTTCTGCTGCTCTTGGTCTCTTGACTGGTACATTTAATTCATTTACACTCAGTGTAATTATCAATAGGTATGAATTGATTATTCTCATTTTTTTGTGGTTTGTGTGTGTGTGTGGTGCTGCTGGATTCTTTGCTCGACATAATTTTGTTTGTGGGTATTATTGTCATTTTTCTGTTGTGTTAATGTTTACTAAATTTTTCTGATTTTCCTCTTTTTTTGATGTGCAGGTAGGTGTCTTATTTTTCTTGAAGGCTACCCTATAATTTATTAATTTTTTCCCCTGCTTAAAAGAGGCTGATTTATCTTGAATCTACTTGACTTTCTTGCCATTTGAAAGTTCTGTATCTATAATATTTGCCCTTTTGTTTTGTAGTTGACTTCAGTATGCAGTAATAGCTCTGGTTTCCTCTTTTCGGTTTTACAAATTTGCTTTACTTTAAATACTTCCTTATCTGGATTGAGTTCTAGATGGTGTTGTCATGAATGGTAAACTTAGGTTGTAGTTTGCTGTTTGTTGGTTCTCAGTCCAGACAACACCCTTTATCATTTTTTGCAAAGTGGTCTGGCCATTACAAATTGATTTAAATTCTGTTTATCAGGAAATGCCCTGGCTTCTCTGTCGCATTTGATGGACAGCTTTGCTGGGTATATGATTCTTGGTTGTCAGTCTTTTCATATGTCATCCCATTGCGTTTTTGCCTGCATGGTTTCTGCTGAGAAATCAGAGCTTAGTCTTACTGCTTCTCCTTTGTAAGTAACTTTTCATTTCTCCTGAGCTGCTCTCGGGAGTCTTCCCTTTTCTTTGGTTTTGGAAAGTTTGGTTATGATATATATATCTTGGTAGTTTTCTTTTGTGATCTATCCTGTTTGGGGTTCGTTCAACTTCTTGCATGCTTATTTTCTTTCATGATATGACAAAAGTTTTCTTCCAACAAGGCTTCAACATTTTTCTTTGTGCTTGTCTCTTCGGGTTCTGGAATTCCATCAGAAGTTGCTCCTGTGCATGGTGTCCCACAGAACTCTTAGGCTCTTTGGAATTTTTTCATTCTTTCTTCTGATTATTTGTTAAGTTGTTGATAAGTACCGTGGAGTAGTTTCCAACTCATAGCGAGCCCTTATAGTGTTTCCAAGGAGCAGCTGGTGGGTTTGAACTGCTGACACTGTAGTTCACAGACCAGTGCTGATTCTGTAGTGCCACACCAGGGGTCTGTCCATCTAGCATTCAAGTCGTTCTGAGAGATTTCTCTTCAAGCTCATTAATTGGGGCTTCCATTGCTTCACATCTGTTCCTTTGCCCTTTTTATGTATTGTCCATTTCTGAGACCTCAGTATTCTTCTTCTGGATTTCTAATGCCAGGTTTTCTATTGTTTCAAATTTTGCATTTATTTTGTCTGTTCTTGTTTAGTGTTTTCCTGAATTCTTCTAAAGTTTTTGTGTTCTCATTGCATTCCTCAATCTTTCTATTGATCCACTGAAGGTACCTAATTATCTTTCAGTTACTTCTGTGACCTTTTCTTCCTCAGAAACATCGTCTGGCTGTGCATCTTGGTCATTTGAGTCATCCTCTCTTGTTTCTTCTTGTGAGCTAAAATTGTCTGCTGTCTCCAGGGCATTGTAAGGTTATCGTATTTATACAAATGAAGTGTAGTTGTTGGACCTGGAGGAGAGAAATCTCTGGGAACTCATGAAGTGGTTGTGGAAAGGATGTGACAGCAGAGTCCCTGGCCCTAGATGGAGTTCCTATTGGCCTTGGTGTTATCGATATTCAAGGCACTCAGTCCAGAAGCAGTTTGTGGGGACCCTAGATGGAGCTAATATAGAAAT